ACTAATTTTTACACCACTAGTCCTACTAACCACCTTCAACATCCTTCTCAGGATGGTATAGTCCTTTTTCAGTAGCCCAGGAAAGACTGATGGGGAGCAGTAAAGTAGAACAGGTAAGATACGAGAGTTGACAAATTGTGAAAGTAGAGGTTGGGTGATTCCACACTTTCTTAGAGATCGTTTGGATATGAGATGACCAAGTAAGGTCGGAACATAGAACTAGTCCGAGGTATTTTGCATCAGACTTAGTTTCAATTTTAGTCCCCTCAATGCTAGAGGCTTCATGAGTACATACTAGTGTTTGTAGATCTCGTTTATGCCTAAAGGAGTAGTCAATAGTCCGGTATTTTGAGGGATTCAGCATGTGGCCATTTAGTTTAAACCACTGACTGATGTCCGACAGGAAGCTACTTAATTTGAAACAGTCTGACTGAGACTCCAGCTTCAGTAATCAAAGAAGAAGATGAAACAACATTATATACCGTCTACCGCATCCTATTAGAGAAGTAAGAGTGCAGCCAGTTGATATCCCAGGACTCAGTTTGTGTAAGGCTAAGCTTTTTTAACGAAAGCCCTCTAGGTACAGAGTCGAAAACAGATGTAAAATCAAGGAACATACAACGGACATACTTAGCCCCTTTGTCTAAGGAGTATACAATGTCGTGATGAAACAGAGCGGCAGCGTCTAAAGTACTTCTACCCTGTTTGTAAGCAAACTGCTTTGGATCATTTGAGAAGCTTAGGGAGGGAACAAGTTTTTGTAACAATAATTTCTCCATTATTTTCGCAAAAGGAGAGGTAATAGCAATAGGTATAAACTTAACACTATTTCCAGAACCAAACTTTGGTACAGGGATGATTTTAATATCTTTCTACAGAGAAGGCACAACAATATTAGAAAAAGAAGTATTGAAAATGTTTGTAAGTGGGTTACTTTAAATATCAGCAGATTTCCTTAGAACAATGACAGATATACCACCAGGGCCTAGACTTTGGAAAGGCTTAAGAGATTTTAAACATTTAAGGACACCAGAAGTATTGAAACTATGAAAGTCACTGGTCATGTTATCAGTTAAATTGAAGGCGAAAGGGACATTAGGAGGGCAGATAAAAGATCTATTAAGAGTATTTACATCAATAAGAGGGGCATAAATATTATGCTTACCTCAACCTGTAATTTCTCTGAAAAGCTTCCCCATGTTTCCTGAAGTTTTACATGACAATATTCTTTGATTATAAACATCGTTTAGCCTCTTGATTTCGGATTTAATTTGGTTGTTTATCCCCCTAAGGCCAGATTTCTTCTTAGTCTTGTACAGTGTCTCTTTTCTCTTCGAAGCTTTTTGAGATGAGGGGAAGAGAATTGGTCCATTCTTTTAAAAAGTATCTGTTTTGGACAGCATACATCAAGGCAGAATTAAAGGTAGTCAATCAGATTGGAAATAGTATCATCCAGTGTGTGTTTGGTGAAAAGTTCCCAGTTTGTGACATTTAGCATACGTCTTAGTTTGAGCTTATTTTCCTGTGAGTAACATCTTTGTTCTGTTTTTCTGGACAGATTTGAGAGGATATCAGAGTAATATCGGCTATATATTTCAGGTAATATCCGAATAATACAACGATTAGAGTTCATTGTAGGAGCACGTCTGTGTACTTAATATATTTCCGCATCATTAATAAATACTGGATCCAGAGTTCTATCAAGTCGAGTAGGAAATTTACCAATACTGACATGACCTAATGATTTAAGAAAAGAACAATCGCATCAACTGAAATCTCCTGTGACAACTGACAAAGAGTTTTCAAGATGTGTAACGGCGATATCAGTGAATTCATCAGCAAAATTAGATAGATCCGAGGAGGAACAGCCTGGAGTAACATAAATGTTTGAGATGAAGACGTATATAAACTTGGATAAGTGTTTCGGACGACATTTGACTGTTATACAATCAATAAATTCACTAGGGACAGAAAAACATACATTATTTGAAGTTGACCATTGAGAATGAATGAAAGTTGCAACACCTCCAACTCTTCTCTTTCTGGAGCATAGTTGATCTTGTCTGAACAATGTAAAACCATTTAGAGAAACCAGATTTTCATTACAAAGATCATGGAGCCATGTTTCTTGTAATGCAACAGTTGCCGTATTGTGATAAGTATCAGATGATAAGAGAGACTGAAGATGCATAATTTTGTTAGGAAGTGAACGGCAGTTTGAATTGACAGTAACAGGAATAGTTGTGCAATATAAAAGTGTCTGTGTAAGAGCACCTTGTCAACCACCGTGATGTTTTCTCTTAGTCTTATTAGATGCATGAAAGTCATATGGTTTGAAACGTTTAATGAATGAATTACTGTATTTTATACGATTTGTGATCATATTTTATTAAAATCAAGAATGAAAACATGACGTATGAGATGCAATATATAGATGCACGAAAAGGTGACCCAGGTGTCAAACAGGCCGTCAAATTTTCTGCCAACCCGATAGATCGGTGCTGTGTATAGATGACGACAACCTATATGTTTAAGTCAATCACTGAAGTTCCTCTCAATGAAACGAGTAACATTATCAGTAACTAAGACATCTGAAATTCCTTCTCGACTAAAAATCGTCCCCAAAGCTCTGTGAGGAAATTTTGCATCAGGACTATCTGTAATGACTACTTCTGGCCATGTTAAATTAAAATCCACGAAGGCTACTCCATGACATTTTATGCGGACAACTAGAACAGCTCTCTGATCTTTCGCTAAAGCCCCATCAATTTCCGGCTATCAAGACGTTAGGCGTGCTAATGATTTCATCTTATCAGCTCCCAGATGAGCAGAATGAAGATCATCCAAAATCGCAGATCCTAATGTGGACAGGATAATAATTCTGCCATTTAGACATAGAAATCATTCAGGATGGACTGAAATCTCATCTCTTAGCTTACAAAAGCTCGGAAATCTTCGCTTGCACTGAATATTCCAACCTCTTTTTGTGGCATTTATAATGGGCCCAGAATATTTCAGAGCATCCTTTATAAGTGGAATTCTATCCACAGATAACAGATGGACTAACAAACAATCAGTGTCATTAGCTCAATTTTCAAAAAATCAATAGCGATATAAGAAGTCTACATGAGGTTTATGCTTAACTGGTCTGTGTTTAATAGTGTAATCATATACACTTAGTTCTAAATTCCATCATTGAACCATAGAACAGATGATGTATTCAAATATTTTTTTTGATTTGTAAATGCATTTTATAGCCCGACAATTAGTGACTTTGTACTAAACTTAGTAACAAAAAAGAGATGCTTGTGCAAGTGTCTTATTGCTCATTTAACTGCCAGAGACTCTTTCTGGGTTTGTGAATACCCTTCTTCACTCTTACTTAAACGTCTTGAAATACAAATAACAAGGTGTCCATTTCGCTCAAGTACTGCAGCTAGACCCAAGGCAGAAGCATCTGTAGTGAGAACATACTTATCATTCGATGGCAAAAGTCTTAAGAAAGCTTGTCTATTAAGAAACTTCAAAGTTCTTCACAAGACATCCTCTTGTATTTGTCCCAACTTAAATTGTCTACTGAAAACAATATCAAAAAGCGGAGATAACAAATGAGTGAAATTAGGAATAAAAATCTGTAGTAAAACTGAAGAATACCAATCCATGATCTCAACTCTGACGTGAAGGTGCTTGAAACAGGGGTGCCAGACGACTAGTATCAGATCTGAAACCCTCGGAATCTACTGAGTACCTTAAGGATGCTACAGACGACAAAGTAAAATGATATTTAGACAGATTAACAAGAATATTTTTCTCACAGAAACACCTGAACAGTATTCAGAGACGTTCATTATGCAATTCGATATATGGACCATGAACTGCAATGTCGTCCTGGTAAGAATCAACACCATATAATTCATCTATCACCTGATTTATTACTTTTTGATATATCGCAGGTGAAACCTTCAAAGCAAAAGAAAATAAATTACACTTGAAAAATTCGAATGGAATAGTAATGGTTTTTAATGCACTAGAAGCTTCATCTAGAGGAATCCACAAATTAGCATCCTTGAAATCTATTTTGCAAACGTTTTTTGTGCCATGTAGTTTGTAGAGAATGTCTTCGGTTTATAGCGTAGTGCAACTTTGCTGTAGTAAGCGACTAGTGAGTGTAGGGCGGTAGTCACCACAAATTCTCGGTGTTTTTCCATCAGCTTTCAGTGGCGTCACAACGGGAGTAGCCAAACTTGAAGGTTAAACTAGCATAAGTATGCCCTGCCCAACCAACTTTTCTAACTCTTTCTTAACAGCATCTTGCAACCGTATGAAATTATTCGGCTCTTCGGGAAAACAGGATCACCCTCTATTTCAAGATGGATGGGCTGAGTCTGAATGCCACCTACACACTTTGAACATTGGAGCACTAGTTCTCGAAAACAGAAATTAATCAAAGAACTCACTGCAAAGTGCGGTTTCAACATTTAACAATCTAAGGGCTGTTATTCCCCATGAAGATGGACTGTATTCATCAGCATGAAAGAGGATATTCACATAACTACCATTGTATGATGTCAAACTAATGTTAGTGGTACCAATAAGAGGTAGTTTATGACGAGTAATGCCTGTAATAGAACTAATAGTATAGTCTACCTGGGAATGCTTACAAAGCAATAGTAAATCTTTCTTAGAAATTATAGACTCTGTGCTGCCAATATCAATTATAAAAGAGTGAGACTTGTCTGAATTTCTAATGAAGGTTCTCATCAGATGCGATTTAATGCTGTGAAAAGATGAAAGAGGCTTTGACTGCATTTTAACAGAAAAGCATAAGTATTTGAATTTAAGTAAGTTAATCGAGTGAAGTAACATAGTTGACTATAAATTGGACGTGGGTCAAGTTAGCAACATTGTTAATGAGGGTAGAAATTACAAAAGGGTGGGGTAGAGAATAATATAAATGAAGATGTGAAATAATAGAATGATAAAATAAAGTGAAAAAGACAAAATAATACAATTAGTAAGACTGAAATTAAGAAAGATTACGTCCATTGTAGATTTAATGAATGAACGAATTTCTTTTGTATGCAGAGTTCAGGATTTAGCAGATGAATTGCCATTGCTTCTGCGATGTGGAGAAGTTTGATCCGTACACTTTTAGCAAGATTGCCTTGTATTCTGTAGATAACTTTGAAGTTTATTTCTGGTTTGACTTGGTGTCCAGAGTCGATCAAATGTTCAAGGATCGAGCTGCGAGGGCATCGGTTTTCTCCTTTATAAAACCATGAAGGTAAATGTTCGTTGACGCGTTTGGATAGCGAACGCTGAGTACGGCCGATATACCTGGCTCCACACGAGCAGGTGAATTGGTAGATGCACATAGATGAGGCCAACAGCGGTAGCTTATCCTTCACGTTCATACGAATCATTGGTCTCGTGGAGAACGTCAGTCGTAACTCAGCTGCAGGGAAGGTTTTCTTCAATGAGCGGGAGAGCCGATTTCTCAGTATTTCTGTAGATTGGTCTCCATTGAACTGTAGGTTCATGTAGAGGAGTCTTTTTGGAGCACTGGGTGTTGGCGGCTTCTCTGGTCTGGGTTTCATTGATTTTGTGATAAATCTTTCTGGATAGCCATTTTCAAGGAGGATTTTCTTAAGAGTGTTCATTTCGTCTTCTATGGCATCCAGGCTGCAAATTCTACGTATTCTGTGGCTTAGTGAACGGATTAAGTTTCGTTTAGTATATAGAGGCACCCAACTGTGGAAGTTAGTGAGCTGTCCGTTCCACGTTGGCTTTCTGTAGATGGATCTTTTTAATGTACCGTCTTGTTGGCGTCTCGTTAGTTGAACGTCAAGAAAAGATATCTTTGAGTTAGACTCTTTCTCTAGTGTGAACTGAATCGCAGGGTGGCAGTTGTTGAAGAACTTCAGGATATCTTCTAAATTCTCTTCGTTGTTGCAGATGATGAAGGTGTCGTCGACGTATCTCTTGTAGAGTTCAAAGTTGTCAATCATATTCTTTAGGCAAGTGTTTTCGAGTTTCGACATGAAGAAATCCGCAAGCAGAGGGCCTAGTGGTGAGCCCATAGCTATACCATCCTTTTGACGATATATTTCATTGTTAAAGGAGAACTGGACGTTTAGGGTGCATCTCAGCAGAAGTTCTTTTAGGTAGTCGGTGGGTATGCCGATGTTTACTCCTTCTGAGTGGATGAGCTCGCATATGTGACAAATTGTTTCAGTTAGTGGAACATTTGTAAACAATGAGACAGCATCTAGTGAGATCATCGTTTGATTAGAAACATTGACGTTTTCGACGCAGTTGACGAATTCAAATGAATCTCGCACTGAGTGACGGGAGACTTGTTTTCTGATTGGTTCAAGTAAGTCTGCTAGCCATTGGGCAGTGCGGTGGTAAGGTGAATTAGTCATGTCGAGGATCGGTCGAAGTGGAGTGCCCATCTTGTGTACTTTAGGAAGTCCGTAGAGTCTTGGTATATTTGAACCAGATGGTCTCAGGGATTCAAACGTTTCGTTGGTAATGAATGATTCGTTCTTTAGTTTACGGAGGATGTCTGTTAGTTTTTGTTCAATCTGCTCCGTCATGTTTTTCTCGTTGGCCGGTTTGGTGAATTTAGATTCATCAGATAGAATGGTCAACATTTTACTGATATAATCCTTACGGTTCATGATTACGATTCCTCCACCTTTATCAGGACGTATCAGCATAATCTCTTCATTGTTCATCAATTCTTTCAGCTCTTTGTAGTGTTTCTTCGTTAGTACGGATCTTCCGTTTGGATTGCCATTTATAAATTTGTGGCAACAGTCGAGGACAGTTGATTTGAATTGTTGTAGGTTCTCATCGGACGTTGGTATCAAGTCATAGGTTTGATTTATCAGGTTTTCAAATTGAACCAGGCATTGAAGCTTGTGAACACTTCGTGGTTTTTGCAGAATTTCGGACCAAGAGATAACACCTCTAGTTGAGTTGTGGATAATGTGATGTTTGAGAGGTTGAATACATACTTTTCTGGATTGCTTGGGAACGGACGTTCGGTGTTAACTGAAGGCTTTAGGCTCTTGAGGAGGTCAGATTTGATGTTGTCGCATTGTTTCTCTGTGACTTCTTTTACATATTCTTCGAAGGGTTGACGTAGTTCTGCATCTAAGTCTTCCACTACATGAGCACGTGAGTAGACATTTCGTTCTAGCTCAGGAATGCGTGATTGAATGGAATCGATGTTGTTTAGCGTGTGTCGTCTCAGCGTTTTGGTGTTCGGATGAATGTGGTTGCGTCTGAGTGATTTCCAGTACATCTTTGGGTATTCATGTTGATCTACACACTCTCTTAAGAAGTTCACCTTAGTCTTCGCTACTGCAAGTTTGACGGAGTAACGTAGGAAACCATCCAGCTCCTTCACCGTCCGTGGGTCCTTGCAACGTTTAAGTAACTTGAAAGTCCCCATTCAGTCATATAAAAGAAAAGAAGGCGTTCAGCGAAGAGACTCTTTTTGGCGAATTTCTGCAAACAGACTTTCTGTGTAAAATTTTACCAAATTTATGGCACTCAGGAACTTGAAGACGGTAAGTGCTTCTTAGATGAATTTTCCACAGGAAAAACACAGTTTGATGATTTTGCTTTCTGTCTGCATTCCGTTTCTTGTGGAAGACAGTTTGGAATTCTTTTTACGAAAATCTGTATTATCAACAGTATTATCGACAGTATGACATCAGACACTGAAATAGAAGGAGCTGGATATTCACTGTTGCCATCTTCATATGCAATACATAAAACCTTAGCAGTTTGAAAGGTGCAAGAAGGAATCTGAATCATTTCTTTCTCTAACTTAGGAATATTGATCCCAGCAATTAGAAGACAGCGTATTTGAGTATGGAGCTGATCTCCGAAGTTGCAAGAAAATTCTTCGACATGCCCCACGCATCAAAGCATTCAAGATAATCGGTGATTTCCTGTGGCGAACAGTTCATAGAAACGTTTTCAAGTTTATTTAATCCCATAGTGACGCCAAAATGTTACAATTATTTGTGATAATAGTATTTCGCATTGACCGAATTACAGGAAATCAACCAGCAATACGGAGAGAGGTGAACTCCGTAGTTTGTATTTGATGGAATTATTTGTAATTCATATGATATATGTATTAACAAACAACAGGTAGTTTTTAAACAATTCAGTGATAGAGATTGTAAATCACCACATGACATTACGAGAAGTCTATAGCGAATATGGTGGAAAAATTGACACAATGAGTCAAATCGATAACACTGTAACTGTTTCAGAAACAATCCGAGCTTAGAAAAACAAACCACAAATATAGAGAGGTGAAAATTTTGAAAATAGGGTTCGAATGAACATGTTCTAAGAGGTAAACAGATGTGAAGGAAGCTGTAAATGGACGCGAACATTGAAAGTTTGTTAATAGGAACTGGTAGTCATTAGGGGGTATTTCGAAGGCGTGGATAGTTCATTCGTGTACAAGTTAGATAAAGACGAACGAATACGAATAAAAGTACATTATTTTTACCGCAGAACATTTGTTTACAGACTTGTAGTCATCTTGATTTTAATTGCTAAACAATACACTTTCATTAAAAGTACTGGTGTTTTGGAGTTAAAGTCGAGGAACAGCCATAGTAATTATCGATTCGTAGCGTCTTCACAAATAATTGGAACCAAGGGTTAGGTTACTTGATAGCTTTTCTTTTTCCTTTCGACTTTCGGGGAGCCTTCTGGAACTCTTCTGGAGAGTACTTACTTGGTCTGCCGCCAGCATATTTGGACACAGATTATTGTAATGCATTTGGTATATTTTGGTGACGCTGGATGATGCTTGCGCCAAAGAAGGGACGTGGCACTTTGGAAGCAGACAAGAAGGTTAGTAATGATGAGTTCCCTGTTATTTGTAATGATGTGTTTGATGCTCAGCACGATAAGATTGATGTTCATGCTTCGCTATCTACTGATAGTAGGGGTTTCAAACAAACGAAACTTGAGCCTCGGTATTTTGACGGAAACCCAGCCGAATATCCACAGTTTGTCAAAGAGTTCGAAGTCATGTTGAGGGGTTTTGAAAGAAAAGAAGGAATGCAGTTGATGTATTTGTTGCTGTATTGCACTGGTGTTGCTTCAAGAACTATACAGTGCTGCACGTTTATGCCCCTAAACGAGGGATACCTTGAGGCTTCGAGGATATTGTGACAAAGGTTCGGGGAACCGTTTATGATATCTAGGAGTGTTTTTGTGAACGTTGCAGGTAATGAAGCACAGTTAAACCACAATTCAGAGGAACTTGAAGAAAAAATGGACAGTTTAATGGTTTATAGAATTACACTCGTGTATCGGAATTGCGTAGATGAGTCTAGATCAAGTTCTGTTCTTGAGGCTATTCCCAAAAGACAGGCAAACTGAAAATACTTTGTTGAGATAAAAGCAAATTGTTAAAGTGTCAGAATTCACCAAGCCTATTGAAACAATCGCCTAGATATTACGAAAAAGCACAGAATCACATAAAATAAACGTGTAGGAGAGGGATCCACATTGTGCGACTTGCCCTGTGGAACCGTATCAACTTACTCAAAGTATGAAACTGCCAGATGAATGATAAAGCGTAGGCGACTTAAGAACTTGTCGAATCTCTCAGGCTTGTAGACCTATACATTGATCGAAATGATAGAAACCACACGAAATATACATTCCAGCCTACAGAATTGACTTCTTCCAGAAGATTCCAATGGACACACAAATCAAAATTATTACTAGTGTGAATGAGATGAATCAATTTACATGCATGCTTAAGATGAAAATATACTCGTCATTTACTAAGTGTGTTCCAACAGAGTTATGAAAGTTTCTTTTTCGTTCCCGGTTCAACTATTCAGAAGACTGTCGAAGATCAGCATGTTTGATTGCAGACCAAATATTACCAGCTCAACAATATCAGTGGATCTCTTGAAGACACATTGAGCACGCGAAATTCGAAAGTTTACACCTATCTCATGAATGTGGAGCTTGTGTGATTGTGATGCAGTGAATGCTCATTCTACTGCAGTTTACGGTCAACCCTGTGTCACCAGTTCACTGACTGATGCTAAAGCAAATAGAACTGTTCTTGTCGTTGTTGTTGCTGTCATACTCATTACGGCAATACTGCAGATAGAGTTATTCGATTTCTTTGGCGGATATCTGTCTATCCTTTTTCAACATAGATTTTCGCTTCCATGTAGAGAAATTCAAGTCTGTCTACTCCATGTTGCACACAAAGCAAGAGAAGCAAGTAGATATACTGCATAATGGAGACAGTAAACAGAGGCGTGAGACAAAGAAATAGTATTAACCAAGAACAATATAGTTCCATTGGAAATGATATGTTGTCACAAGGAGTGAATGCATCTGCACCAGCCATTGAGAACGATTTCGACCCATATCACTAATTGTTTCCAGCCACTGGATTTTACCGTCCAAAGGACCCCAAGCATTCAGGAAGTCTTCACATTCCTACGTGGCTTTAACTAACTGTTGTGGATTTCAATGACTGGTGAGTCCATGTTTTGGTTTGACCGCCGCCAGCTCTTTTTCAGCCTGACCCGATGTCGGCTAAAATCGCCCATCGAGGAAGGCGATGACTAATCATACGTAACACATGTCTTAACCATCTCATTTGATGTAATTTCACAGCCTCTTCGATTGATTTCCTCTTCTCATCTAGCACGCGACGTCTAACCCCAATATTGGTGACCTCATTATGCCACTTCACACTGGAGATATGACGCAGACACCTATGGTAGAAGACAGCTAATCTTTTCATGTCTTCCACTTTCAATGTGTAGCTCTCACAGCCATAAACGGGGACGGAGCGGACAGCTGTGTAGTACGCACGCCCTTTGGTCGATAGCCGGACATGATGTCTACTAAGCTAGAGATGGCATAAACTAGCATATGCGAAACTAGCCCTCTGTATCCGTACTGAGACTTTACAGAGGTCAACCCGTTGGAGCTGATGGTACTCCGAAAATAAGTGGAGCGGTCAACGCGCTCTATCAATCCACTCCATATATCTAAACTAGGAGTCAGTGTAGTCCAGCACTGTAACATCATCTTACATTTAGTGGGAGCGAATCGCATGTCAAACATTCGTAGATTGCAGCTCAAGGTGTTCAGAAGATTCAGCATTTGTCAGCGTTCTCACCTAGACGGACTATATCGACTGCATAATTCAAGTCAACGAGGTGAATCCCTGGTTGCAAGTCAATCCCTGAGTCTCACAAGTGAGTTAGCGTTAGATATATTAGTACATATATGATGAAATTGTAAAGAAATAGAGATAATGTGCATCACTGACGTGCACGACTAATTATCACATCTTCAGATGGCAACTCGCCGTTAGCTCCACCTGGCTGCATGAATTCGAGTAGAGTGCCTTGATCAGAGCGTTCCCTTTACAGTCAAGCATCACCAGAGTACCTCTCGGTTGACAGAATCGGATGACGCCTTCAGGTTAGGAAATATAACGATTGTTGGACGCCACCAATAAGAATGCCTATGTTCTAGAATCTGTCGAAGGGTGAAGATATGGTTAATACACCCTATTCCTGGTCTACAGTCTGCCTGGCTCTCTCCTGTTTAATGTCACACAAACTCGAAGACCTAAAGTTGAAACCCAACAAACTGCCAGAATAGGCTGACAGCAAAGACACAACTCCAGGTGAAAATGGAGAAGACGGAAGTCGTGAAGACACCCACACACCACCACCAACACTTTCAGAAACAAACAGCAACAATCAACATCAACGCGAGAGATTTGAAAGAGGCTACTTCCTTCACTTATCCAGCCAAGATGCATCGTTTCCACCACCAACTGTCGGAACGGACGAAGTTGTCAAAGCCAGTCGGAATTGGAAAAGCAAGATACGCCTGTATCAATCTGAAAACAGTTTGCAAAT